TTCACTAGTTGGTTTTATCAATGTTTTATGAATCAGTTCATTTTCTTATTATTTTTGCAGTTCATAATCAACTAACTCAATAATATCTTCCTAATACGGAAACATTATCATCATTCATTAACAGTTTTGTAAATAAAATCATCCAGAACAAGATTCTCATAAGATTTTCATAAAATAATTGGTTGAACGTTTTAATGCATAGAAGTATTCATCATTTATGTCTTTCCTTTCTGAAAACTTGCTTTGCAAAAGCAGTTATTAAAACTTGCTTTACAAAAGCAGTTAGTTATTTAATGCTTAAACTTTTCGAAATCAACAAAAAAATGTTTTTATATTTAAAAAGAGCATTTTTTTTTTTTTGCGATACTTTTCTGCTTTTCCAACTCGTCAATTAGAAAAATTTCAATAAGAACACTTTTAAAGGTTTTGGACTTTCAATAAGAATTTAATAAGAACACTTTCAAGAAAAATTTCAATAAGAACACTTTTAAAGGTTTTGGACTTTCAATAAGAATTTAATAAGAACACTTTCAAGAAAAATTTCAATAAGAACACTTTTAAAGTTTTGGACTTTCAATAAGAATTTAATAAGAACACTTTCAAGAAAAATTTCAATAAGAACACTTTTAAAGGTTTTGGACTTTCAATAAGAATTTAATAAGAACACTTTCAAGAAAAATTTCAATAAGAACACTTTTAAAGGTTTTGGACTTTCAATAAGAATTTAATAAGAACACTTTCAAGAAAAATTTCAATAAGAACACTTTTAAAGGTTTGGACTTTCAATAAGAATTTAATAAGAACACTTTCAAGAAAAATTTCAATAAGAACACTTTTAAAGGTTTTGGACTTGTGTTTAAAAATTCAAATTAAAAATTTCTGTTTTATTTATATATTTTTTCAAATAAATAAAACTCACAAAAGTTATATATATTGTTATTTCAGATTTTGTTTAAGTTAACTGTTACTAATATCGAAATTTTTTTGATCAAAACGTTTTTTTGGGATTAATATCGAAAATAAGTTTTGAGGAACTAATTCGAAAAAAATAAATAAATAAATATTAAAATTCATTTAGAAGGAATAATGTCGAAATGCCTATACGGAATAATATTGAATTTTGGAGTTTTATTTTTAGGGGATCCCCAAGAAGACCTAACAGTCTTGTCAAAGAGCACCGCGGAAGTGCATTTAACCAGGAAGTTCACGCCTCCTTCCTTACCGTGAAGCGAAAATATGTCCAGAGCTCGTTTCGAACCTGGATCTCCTGCTTATAAAGCAAGTGCTCTAACCATTGCGCCACGGCCGCATTTATTGTCATCCCAAAATCTTACTAAAACATCCATTTGACTCTTCTGAAAAATTTGGTTCATGGATTCATCAAATGAAACAGCGTCATAAGGTGTATTAGATAGGGAAGTCAGCAACTCATTTTAAAATTTACAATTTCAGTTTATTCTCTATTTCGATATTAATCCCCTTTCAAACTTTTTTTGTTTTGAGCTATTTCGACCTTTTTCTGTTTTTCGTATTTTAGATACCATTTCTTTTTTTACAATTTTAAAAGTTTTGTTCTCTATTTCGATATTATTTCGAAAAGTTCTTTTTTGAGCTTATTCAGTTTGGCAGTTTTCGATGCTGTTGCTACTACCGAACGAGTTCATTTGTTTTTGCTTGTCAATAACATTTTTAATCATTTTAATTAAAACAGTCCGAAAAAATCAAAATAAATAAACTACTACTACTACTACTACTACTACTACTACTACTACTACTACTACTACTACTACTACTACTACTACTACTACTACTACTACTACTACTACTACTACTACTACTACTACTACTACTATTACTACTACTATTACGACTACGACTACTACAATAATAGTATTAATAGCTATAAAAGGAATAAAGTTTTTACTTTTTTGGTAGTAATCTATAATTTTTGAAATACACGAAAAACAAGTTTTAAGTATAGTGCTTCAATTAATTTTATATTGACCCTCTAACCACTTTTATCTAATAAAAAAAAGTTGATCCTGATAAAAGAAAGTTGATTCTGATAAAAAAAAATCTTTATCCCCCATTATCCGATAAAAAAGTTGCTAGCTTGTGGCATTGTGAGTGGATGGCATGTGAGTTCTTAGATTTTTAGGATGTTTTTAGATTTTTAAGGAATTTGTTTATCTAAGAGAAAAATTATAAAAAAGTAATGAAAGCATTTGTGAATTTTAACAATTGTGGTCACAGCTTCGTTATCACTATGACATCACCATGACATCACAATCAAAGGATTTTGGTACAGTTTGTGGCAAAAAAATATTATTGGGTTTTCCATTATATGATGATAATCAAGGATTTGCAAAATGTCTCCATGCCATATCTGTTGATATGCCATGGAATTTTATAAAATTTTTTAAATAACTGTCAACAACGGTTGAAATTTTCAAGCGTGTACCTAACGTGCAACAAGACATTACTACATTGGGTTTGGAAATTTTTATTTGTTTTTGGTTAAAAGCCAGTAAATAAAAAAATAATACATACTGGGAATAATGTTATTTTAAATTAATTTTTCATTTGAAATACGCAAGCCGTTGCGTAAAACCTATTTTAACCAATCAAAAGCAAAATAATATAAACTTTAATAGCTCAATTAAATATTTTGAATATTTAATTCCTATAAATTAAGAAACTGAAATAAAAAAAGTTTCATAGATAATCTTTTTTAAATAGTTTTCCAGTTCAAATATATTGTGACCCACGTGACTATATAAGAAAAAGTTCACTTTATCTCTCAAATAGAGTGAGACGAAAGAAAGTGTTTGTTTGTATTCTTTATGAACAATTGTTTTTAAAGTGGTTTAACCAAACTAGAGGTAAATTTTTTATTTAATTTATTTATTTATTTTTTGCGTCTTTTTTTAATTTCACGTAAGCTGTCTTGTGTCATAGTATTAAATTTAATTAGAAGTCTACCTAATGAGTCTCGTTAAATCAAATTTTTAAAAAGTAAAAAACAACTTTACACATTTAAGCTTATAGAATTCTTTTTTCTTTGGTTTATGCGCCTCTTAAAATAGCGTAATTAAAAGTTACTAAATTGAAAACACGACTTGCGTTAATAGTAAAACACAATAAATATTTAAAACAATGACATTCTGCCTCCGTGATTTTTTTTAATCAAAAATATATATATATATATTAGGATTGAAAATTGACAATTTTAAATATTTGATGAGTGACGATGTGATGCAGAGTCATAAATGTAGACTAAACATTTAATAGAGTCATAAGTGTAGACAAAATTTTACTTAATAAGCTTAACTTGAAATTACAGAAAGAAAAAAAAAGTTAATAAAAACACTGCGCATGAAATTGGTTTATCACAGAGTTATCAACTCCATATTTAATATATATTAATTTAATTTTAAGCTAAATGTTTTAAAAATTTACCTATAAAAAAAAATTTACAGAACCCAATAAGTTAATGATTAAAATGAGGCGTTGAAATTTGCTACTTCAAAACTTTACTATATGCTATAAGTAGTTTTATAAAATTTTCAAATCTTTGTCGTGTTACTTCAAAAGGAAATTTTGCTAACAACTTCCTTTGAAAAAATAAAGGTTTTAACGTACATTATTTGAGGTTGATACGTCATCGTCAACAAAAGGAAGTGTTAACACAGTGAACGGTATTGTTGCGCTTTGCAATAAGGATGTTTTTTTGTGCAGATTTTTTTAAAACCTTGTGTTTTAAATTTTTATTAATTTCTCGATATGTTTATAAAGATTCTCTTTAAACCTCTTCACATTTAAATCGCGTTTGAAAATTCGTATAATAAATTTTTTTTTAATGTTGTTTATTTGCTTACAGGACACACTGATGTAAACTGTTATTATTTTGTACTAGTGTGTAAAAAATAAAAAGAATAGATTTAAGATAAAGTAAAAGTTTAAAGTTTTGTCTAAGTTAAAAAAAAAATTAAAAACTTAATTCAACTTGTAAATACACAACGGGTAAAAAATAAATAATAAAAATAATTAAAAAAAAATAGCGTTGAATAAGCTGCAAAAAGTTTGGAAAATGTCCTTTTAAATATCATTTTTATTTGATTATAAAAATAAAATGCATAAATAATTGCGTAAACAATCGCGTTGCAATAGTAAATACGTCAAAGAAAACTAAAAAATTAAACTTTTTTTATTTGTTAGATAAAAAAGTTTCTAAAATATAAAAAAATGACAAAGTTGTATATAATCGAGTACCAAAAAACTACAATACGCCATTTTAGGTTTTTCAAAGCTTTCATCACAAAGATAAGTTTTGTAAGGATATCCCGTACTTAACAGACAGCTCAGATAAAAAGGAATTTGCATCAAGTCGCTACAACTCATAATTTTTTGTTAAGTATTTCCTTTTTGACTTTGGAAAGCTTGCATTTAAATGAAAAGCATCGCCTTTCCTTTAAAAAGAGAGATCGAAACTTAGAAGAAACGTTTCACAAGGAACATGAAATTAAAAGTTTCCCAAAACTTTTCCGAAATTATAAGACCGTGTTATTATATTTTCAAGCTATTTAAAAAAAAAAAAACTGTTTTTAAGGTTGTATTATTAACTTCGGATTAAATGCTAAAAAATACAATATGTTCTTCTTTAACAATATCCCGGTAATCGGTTTATAATAACATAATCTATTTCCAAGTCTCTAAAGCAAAACAATTATCAAGAAAAATCTAATTCAAATATATAAACGCGATTGTAGTTTTACTTGCTATTTTAACCCCGAGTAATTTTTACAATAGTTAACGTTTTATTTCTTGCCCAATTTAAACTCACTAGTGTATAATTTTTTCTTCTTCAATTAGTGTTAATTTTTTAATGGTTTACGTACATTTTGAATGGAATAAAAATTGTTGTTGATTGGTTTAGTTATTATGGCGTTAGTTTACACTGTTTAAACTTTTATTTGGATTTATTTGGTTTTAACTTTGTTTAAGTTTGGGTGGAGTAAAGATAAGATAAAGTTTAGCGTTTGAATCTACAGCTTGTGAAAAAAATATTATTACGCTGGTGCATTTAAGGATATTTGCAAATTTCGAGCTTTTATAGATATTTAAAAAAAAATATCCTTATTGTATCATTTCGTTTTACAATTTCCACACTTAACCTTTTGTAGTTATTAGTAAGTATTTATTATTTTGTGCAACTTTACATATGTGCACATTTATTTTTACTTATCTATGCATTTCTACACTCATTCTTGTGTATACAGGCTTGCCTGAGCATTAATTATAATACAAATATTACCCATAACACGCGTATAATGATTTATGCAATTTAAAAATAAACCGTTTACTTGTAATGCTTTTTTGTATAAATGGTATTAAGGAATGTATGTATACAACGCAATTAATATCAAGTATTATATTTCATACAAGCATACAAACATGCATACATATAAATTTCTATATATATATATATATATATATATATATATATATATATATATATATATATATATATATATATATATATATATATATATATATATATGTGTGTGTGTGTGTGTGTGTGTGTGTGTGTGTGTGTGTGTGTGTGTGTGTGTGTGTGTGTGTGTGTGTGTGTGTGTGTGTATTTGTGTGTATGTGTGCGTTTGTGTGTGTATACTTTATTTTACAACCAATAACTTAAATTCCAATTAGATTTTTATTCTCCTTTTCAAGTTTAACTTAAATATATAAAGTCGTTTGTATTGATTTGCACCAATCAAATTTCAATTGAAGTTTAAACTCAAAAACATTTATTGCAGTTTATTGAAAAAAACGTTTTTATTTATTTACAAAAATAGATGTGGCAATATATATAATTGAACAATGTTATTTATATAATAACAAATATTAATACTAATATTATAAATCATAGAAATAATAAAACTAAAGGATTTTATATTTATTATTGTTATAATAATAAATATAAAATATAAAAAATATTTATTTTTGCCATGTTTTTATATTAATAAAAAAATTAGATTTTTATATATTGGAAATAATATTTAATAATATTGATTAATTTATTAAAACATGGTGTAAAAAAGACATAAAAATGCAATTTTTTGGGCAAGTGGGTTAGTTATAAAGTTATATAATGTTGTAGAAATAATTTCAATGTCGGTAAGAATTAAACACAAATATTTTTTTATATATTATCTTGCCGTTTTACAAAGACCCTACAATTCTCCGGAAAGAATAAAAAACCGTTACTTTTTGCGTTTAATATAATTTCCGAACTCGGCGATGTTTACAACTGTCTCTTCCACCCCTCCTCTTTTCTTTTTTTCTGAAAAAAAAAAAATGGTTTGTCAGGTAATGCTGATTTAGCGGCGCAGTTTTTACTAGTTTTACTTACTTTTTTTTTTTCACTTCTAATTTTTAAGAGCGACACATAAAGAACTGCTCCAGCCAGTATGAACTCTAGCTGCGCCATTAAGTGGAGCCGTAACCCTACCCCTGTTTATTTTTAAAAACTTGGTTTAGTTTCTAAAACTCCCCTAGGTATTCGTAAATTTGATAAAGATAACTGATTAAAGTTTTTAATCATACTAATTCAGCTTTTTAAAACACTTTGATAAAAAAGTGAAAAATATTTTTCAAAGTATGAATTGTTAATGTTTGACAGATCTATCAAAATCAAATAATTTTTTGTTGGAGATTTATTTGTAGCCAATCATTTATAGGTATTTAAGTTCATAAATTCATCACTTTAGAAGGAAAATTAACATTGACATTGTTTTAAGTAATGCTAACTAGCGTTAATGGGCTTTCATCCTTATGCTGATAGCTTCCTGTTGAAAAATTATTATATTACTATGCATTCTACTTACTTACAGGAAGTCGAAATCCGTAATGTAAAAGAAGTTGCATTTATACACTTATACATGTGTGGGTACATTAAAGCATTTAAAATTAAAAATAACTACAAAGTTTTGAGTTTTTATTTTTTACCTTCTAATAGTTATGGACATACAATAGACCCCCGTTCATTTGGTAATCCAATTATAACATAACCTTGTCAAATTTTTGAATTTGTCGTTTTATTCTTTTTTTCCGCTTGATTGACACATGCGTCTGATTGTTTGAATGCATTTGCAATCTGCAAGCTTCCTTAAAAAGCCGGTTTAAAGATGACCTGGTCTCCACCCTTGTTGTAATGTAAAGTAGTTGTTTTTAATTGCGCGTAACTATTGTGACGTTTTTGTTTTAGATATGCGGCTGTATGACATCTGTTTAAATTAAGTCATTATAAAAAGTGGTAATCAGTTTAAATAAGCAGACGAAAAGGTTGACAAAGTCATTAGTCTTTTGTAATAATGTCTCTTAATTTGTTTTTTTTTTTTCTATTAGCAAAACTAATGAATTGAGGGCTCTAAATAACAATCCATATTGATAAAAGCCTTGGTGATGATATATATTTGTTCTGAAAATTGATATGAAATGAAGCTTATTATTACATTCCTACTTCTAATAATTACATTAGCAATTTTAAAAAAAACGAACTGTTCCCCAGTAAACCGTGAAGTTGTAGTAACAAAAACAGAACAACCATTATTTGACGACGATGAAGATTTTTCGGGCGAAAGCGAATCAGATACTGGAGATGAGCAGCTAATGCACGAAGATTATACTGCCAGCTCCAAATCAACTGAGGAGGAAAAAACAAATGATATATGGAAAATTAATTTCAACAAAACAATTAAAGGTATTGTGACTTTTTCATTTGACTTTATATTCACTTTTTATCTCATTTTAAAATTTTGAGTTCATCTTTTTTTTAAAGTTTTTTTTTTAACTTCAAAAAATACACAAAACTGAGTTGAAGTAATTTATTTAAAAAATTAAAATACAAGCATTAATATATGTTCATTAACAATTTTAATAGTTGACGGCGTCAAAATTACAAAGGTGACTACAAACCTGACAATATCACAATGCATAACGACGTCAATTGCTTCATTGTTATTATTAAAACTCGTTTATACTATTTTTTACTTGTAGGAGATTTTATTGAAGGCGATATTAAATTAAGCATTCAGCAGGCATTAGAGATTAAAGTTGATACGATTCTACCACCATCTGGACGAGCAAAACGGGCAGCTAGGAGCAAAAACCCTTCCCCACTTTGGAAGCATAATACTATTTATTACAAAATTGATAACAATTTCTGTAAGCAACCTTATTATAGTATCAATAAAAAAAAAAGATGTTAAATATAGGTATATAGATAGACAGATCGACAGATATTTATAAGACTATCATATTTTTTTTTAGCAAAATCAGAAAAACAGGAAATTAAGTTGGGAATAAAACACTGGAGAAAAACAATGAGAAATTGCCTAAAGTTTGTACGTCTTGGAAAAAACGTCGAAGAAGAAAACATAATAAAAAAAGAAAAATTTAAAGGCGGACCCATAGAGCACATACTCTTTACAAAAACACCAGGGTTAGTAATTTTTTGCTTTTGTGTTTAATTTTTTAATTATGAAAAAAACAAAAATAGATGTTTCAGCTCAAATAATAATCTTACTAAAGAAGGCCGTTACTATAGTTACTATAGAAGGCAGTAATGCCCTTTCTATTGTGAAGTTTTTCAAAAAGGTTTTGTATATCCCATCAAGGATATATAAAAGAGCGTAATTAGAGGAGGGATTCACAAACACTACGACGGACATCCTTTACGTTTTTCCTCAATAAGACAGGTTTTAAAATTAACACTGGACAGTTTTACACTTTCATTAAAGATAATAACAGTTTTTATGACACCTTTGGACCCAAACCTTTGGACCCAATTTCAATTCATTTATTTTTATTATAGATGCTGGTCACATGTTGGTCGTACTGATTCTGATGTAAAAGAAGGTTTTATCATTGGACAACAAATTATTTCTATAGGAGAGGGATGTGGTGAGCGAGGCACAGTTATTCATGAGATAGGACATGCTGTTGGTTTTTGGCATGAACAATCAAGACGTGATAGAAATGCATATGTTCGTATAATCGAATCAAACATTATTCCAGATCAAAAAACTCAATTCAGTAAGTACATTAGTCAAAATTTTACTAATTAAGTTTTCTAAGATCAATCTTACTTCCGTTAGTGCAATGAGGTGCCAATCTTTTCCTTTATAAAGGAAGGAACAGAAAGTTTTTTGTATGCTTGATATCTTAATGTGATTAAAGAAGCTTTACAGTAAAAATGAATTTTATTTAACAACTTTTCATTCATTACGTTTATGAAAGTAAAGTTTGATTCAAAAAATAGTGTTTTTAAAGTTAATACTGTAGCAGAGGTTAAACCGGTGTCATGTCGTACAACAATACGAAAGACTGTTTTGAATGTTTTTCTTTTGTTTTACAACGTAAAAGAAACTTTTTTCGTTATTAGTAATAGTAATAATAATAATAAGAAGAGTATTGTAAAATAATTTTGTAAAAAATTATATTCGTAGTAATATAAAAAATTTAACAATAAGTAAATAGCAAATATTAATTAGCAAAAAATAAATAATAGTTTTAATGTTTTTTTTAACCCCAGGCTTCTTACATTTGTTTTTAGTTTTATTTCATAAAAAAATTGATTTTATTGTGTGTATTTTTTTTTTCTAGAAAGAATGGCTCTACATGACGTCGACAGCATGAAATACGCTTACGATTTCTGGAGTATAATGCATTATGGACCTAAATATTTTTCTAAAAATGGTCGGCCTACCATTAAAATTCATAAAAACTACAGACATTTACAACCAACTATTGGACAAAGAAAAGGACTTTCATATCTTGATATAGCCCAAGTTAGAGCTATGTATAAATGTAACGTAATTCCGAGTCCAGAAAGTAAAAAATGCTTTTCAAGTAAACTCAAAGGAAGAGATTACAGGGGAAATTTAGATTACACAGAATCAGGTGTAATGTGCCAACCATGGAACAAACAATATCCTCACCAGCATACTTATAGTTTAAAAAACCCAAATGATGGACTTGGAAAACATAATTATTGTAGAAATCCAGACGGAGAAAAAGAGAGGCCCTGGTGCTATACAACTTTAGGAAAAGAAGCTAAAAAAGACTGGGAATATTGCGATATAAAAATATGCGATAGTTAATTAGTAACCGTATAAAGAACAATGCATTAGGTTTGCACTGAAATCTTTAAAAGATTTACTAGGTTACCGCAGAAATTATCTTCCCGCCTTTTTAATGGTTATTTTAGTCTGGAAACTAAACCATACGACTGAAAGGCGCATTAAAAGCTATATTGAGAAAAAAAAAACACATCTAGAGATTTCAAGAAGAAATATTTGTCATTATTTATTTAGAAAAAGATGTTTTTTATATTGCAGAATATTGTGCTAAATTATTTAAATTATTTTAATATAAACACTAAAGGCGATTATTAATCGCATAAAACTTAATGGGCGCTAAGAAATTTTTGAAAAGAAATTTTTTTTTAAGAAATTATTTTTTTTTTAAAAAAAAAGAAAACTTTTCAAACAAAGTATTGCGACAAAATTTTAAAAAAAAGTTAATATTTATTATTCAGATTGGTTGAATTTATTATGTTTAAACTCTAAAAGATTTTTTTTTTTTTTTTTTTTTTTTTTGTATTTATATGAATATATTTATTTAAACACGTTACAAAAGATTACTAATAAAAATTCGAAGACCGAAAAGCTTTGAGTTAAGAATATTTTTTAATCTCGAAGATAAGTAACTAAAAAAAAAATAAAAGTCTCTATTTTTTTTCTTACAAAAAAAAAAAAAGATTTTGAGTAAGGAAGCTTTTGTATCTTATAAAATTGTGAATTTCTTTCAAATGTTAAATATATTATATTTCTTTTAATGTTAAATACGTTGACATTTCTAACTATATTTCTATTTATTTTTGTAACATTATTTAAATGTCATTTTATGATTTTAATTAGCAGAATAGATTTGTAAAAAGATATGTATTAAAAAATAAATGAGCATATAAATAAATAATAAAAATGAGTCATTCGTGGATTACTGACGTGATTTCATAACCCAGTTTAATTGTAAAAGCTACATCCCTTTTTTCGATTCAATTTCGATTCAAAAACTTTTACTAATACTTTGATTTATGTTTTGGTGTTATTAAATATAAAGTTCAAAATGATATTATCGAAGTTAATGTTAATGAATTCAAGATGTTAGTGTAAAGTTTGCAAACAACAAATCAAAAAACTTTAATTTAAGGTTTAACGTAGTAATAAAATCTCTTTTTCTCTTCGTAAATCATTACACAGTACAACTTGGCTGTACTTTAATACTCGGCATTATAAGAATGTTACACTGCTGTTACACATTATTAAAACTTGACAGCCTTATACATCGTTAAAAGCTGTTTACTTGACACAGTATATAAATCATGTTTTTTCTACGCAGTAATCAAGCACATTCCAGGATTAAAAATTAAAAATACGTGTTTTTATAATAATATAAAATCATTTTGGTTTACAAATTTTATCTCACTTATAGAGTCCATTTAAAATTCAAAAAAAAACTTATTGAATATTAAAATTGTGTCTCTGTTTCATAGTTTATAACGTGTCAATGTAAATCAGTATTAAAAGCAAATTTTGTTAAATTTTATTAAACATCTGCTTTTTTACCAAAAACTGGTATTTTTTTGTAGTTAAAATTTATAAAAACAGAAAAGTTATTGCAAAAGTAATTTAAAAGTTCATCATTGTATCATCATGTGTCGCCGACAGCAGTTGTCTTTATTCTACATTGTATCATCGTCATTCAAATTATCTTTTACATTAATAAATAATGGCTTTATGCCATCAGCATTCTTATTTTTATGCGTATGTAATCCATCTATCATTACTAACGTAAAACATTTAACTATTTTAATTTGATATCTACTTGGTATTTCTTATTTTATAAGATAATTTGAAGAACAGATACATTTAATGAAATATTTTATAAACAGAAACATAGAGGGTGTTACTTTGTTTAAAAATAGATTTGACAACCAGTTGTTTTGTTTGTTTTTAATAGTTCGTTAGTTGAGTTTTGAACTATTTCTCAGTAAGTTTGAGTTGACAAATTGAATGAGTTATTAAAATCTTTGTCTCAAATCTTAATTAGATTTATCGACGTCAAAATTTTAATTTATTGATTTTTTAATTTAATTTATTAGGCACACACACACACAAAACTCTATGCTATGCATAATAAATCTCACTCTGTGGTTTTGATAAAAAAAAAGTAAAACTCCCTCTTTTTATGTACTTTGAAGTTTATTTTTCTGGGATTCCTTTTTTTTTTTTTTTGCTATGGCTTTTTTGTTCGATTTATTAGCAGGTATCCGTTGATCATGAGAAGGTATCAGTTCATTATTGGTAGATCAAACAAATAATGTTATGATTAACAATAAGAAATTAAGTTTTAAAAATATTCTTTTATGGTAATGATTATGGTTATTTTGATTATGGGAAAGTATTTCCAGATTATGGGTCGGTAATTGTTGACTGTAGGTCGGTAATTGCTGACTGTGGGTCGGCAATTATTGACTGTGGGTAGGTAGTTATTTGTTGGGGGTAGCTGTAATTAAAATAAATAAACCCACTATGCAAAGTGGGTTATTATTTTTGATAGTGGGTAGATATTTATTGATTGTGGGTAGATATTTAGTGACCAGCTTTCAGGTGTTGAAAAGCAGGTATATTTTTGTTATTGTTTGATACTAATTTTCTTTAAACTTCTAATTATAATTCTTTTTATAAGCATTTAAAAAAATGCAAAACCACCAGCTCCTAAGTTTTATTACTTAATTTTGATTTTTTTAAATAAAATATAAAACAAAAAATAATAAATCATTTATAGATAATTGAATATTAAATTGAAAATATAAAAGATAAATTTATAATAATGACTTTTTTATATTTCTTGTGCTAAACAAAACAGTTAAACTAAAAAGATTTTTTTTCATGCCTTCTGTAAAACCAATAAAACTGATCATACAAGGTTTGCAGTTTCTACATAAAAATTTTACATCGAACTTTTTCTATTAAAACACAAGGTGAAGAATCCCACCAATAAATGATTACGTATATTACGTATGTGTAAATCAATAAAACTTTGCTGAACAAGTTCAATAATAATTTACTTGAAATATTAAAAATATTGTTTCATCCAAAAGTCATGCGTTTAAATATTTCATAAAAGAACTTTAAAACATGTTCCAACTACAAAATACCGCTTTTTAATTGCAATAATTTCAATCAATATTTTCAGTAACAACCAAAAATGTCACAGCTCAAATCTACCTTTTTGTCTTAACATTCTTAAATAATCACATAAGTCTACAGTCTAGATATTTTGGTATAAAGTGATTATTTATTATTAAAATAAGTGATTCATTTATTATAAAGTTATAATAATAAAAAGCTCTAAAAACACGAACTTAAATTTAATAATTGTTCAATGTCTACAATATACATAAGTACAAAGCTGAAAAGTCTCACTTTGCTCCACTATTTCGTTCCGTCTTTGAATTATAAAAAAAGTTAACAGTTTAAATAATAAATTAAATATTAACTTTTAATCAAAAAAAATTAGATTAGAATTAAAAAAATGAGAGAAACATAACAAAATATCCTTACAAACAAACTTTTGTGAAGTTAACATATACTCAAAGGTTGCAATATTTTTCATCAAGAAAATAGTTTTCCTATAATTTAGAAATTGGCTGTAAAAAATAATTAAACTGACAATACTAAGAATGACGGTTATTAGCAAATCATAAAAAACCCCAATAATACAATAACAAGTCAGAAGGTAAATAAATGACCTCACTTCATATGTCGCCTAAAGCTACATAACAGTTTATTAAAAATAACAGTTACTAGATTTTTTTTTTGCAATCAAAGTCGTAATCTTTGATCAGAAACACCGTTAAAGGCATGGAAAGGTGATGAAAATAATTAAAAACTGATGAAGAAATGAACATTTAGACAAAAAAAAAAAAAAAAAATAGATTTACCCGTAAAAGAAAATAACCACTAAATTTGCTAGTACCAGTACAAAAGATATGTGTCTTGAAACAAAAGTAATTTACTTTTTAGCAAGGCAAGACGTTATAAGGCAAAAGTTATCGTTAATAGTCGTTTTTGATGTTTTTAAATCTAAATTGTTTGGAAATTATACACACATATTTCTACATTTTTAAAAAAATTATTATTTAAAGTTATGATGTCATCAAGAATTTTATCTCAGAAACATAAAAACAAAATGGAAAAAATCTTTCCCTTGCGTTTTTGAGTTAAGAGATAATTGCAAATAAAATATGTAGCATAAAAAAAAAATAGAGGTACTTTCTTAATTGTATTCAACCATCTGGAGTCTTAGGGGTCCGTAAACTACGTCACGCTTTAGGGAGTTAGTGGTTTTGCGTTTCGTTACTAAAGTGTTACGATGTTGTGATGAGGGGGGAGGAGGGGTCTAAAATGGTCAAATATTGCGTGACGTAATTTGTGAACGACCCTTTAGGAAGGTAAGTTTTATAATAATGATAAAGTATGAACAAAACCTCAGCCAGAAAAAAGTAAACCGTTTTATATTCAAAAAAATTAAATTATGCTAAAATGTTTTGTTGGAAGCTTTTTTCCAAAGATAACTATGATAAAAATCTAAAATTGGACAAGAAAAGTTTCTAACTACCTGATAACCAATTAACTGATAATCTCCATCCAAATAACAAAGAAGAAATAAGCCATTTAAAAACCTAAAAGCATTATCACAGTAGTTAAATATTATGTTAAAACTGTTTGTAAATTTTCAAAATTGAATTACCGAATAATTGAGTAATGATAAGATTTCATCCATTGTAAAACAAAACAAAAAATTGTATTTTTTAAGTATGAAAAAAAATACAAGATTGAAATTTGCAATGTTGAAAAGTATTTTTATGTCTAGTTTCTTTTGAAATGGTTACAATAAATAAAAAATGCAAAATTATTCTTGATAGGTCCATAAACAGTCGTGGTAATGGTGATCACAGACCCTTAGTACCATTACATTCTGACTATATTTATGCATTTAAAACTTTCGAAGTAAAATACAATGGTATTACATGATTTTGATTTATTTAAGGATATATTATATCCTGTTTGTGGGTCCCAAGCCATCCAACCGCATATTATACAAAGTAGTGTAGTTGTGGGCCTTTAAGTTATTTTCCGGGCTGTAAAAATTCTAAAGCCTCCTTTTAAAATCTCAACAGGTCTTGTCATTTTAGTCATATCAAAAAAATATTTTTTTAATGTCCTAAAACACTGTAACACTTTAACAGTTCAAATAAGATCCTAATAC